GGCCTGGGACACGGTGCCATGACGGCACAGGGCCAGCAGGCCCCGGCGCAGGCGGGGGGAGGCAGCTCGGGCTCGGGGGTGGCAGCGGGCAGCGCGGGGCCGAGCGCTCCCCCAGCCCCGGTGACCAGAGGCGCGTGACTCACGCTAACGCTGGCGCAATGGCAATTAAAATCTGCAGCTGCTATTAATAGCTGCCAGCGGAGGAGCCTGGACATCACGGGCGGAGCGCGGCACGCGCGCGGCTGGCAGGGCCCCGCTTCCCTGCACACCGGGACCGGAGCCCGAGGCAGGGGACCTGGGGGGACAAAAGTGCGGGGGCTGGGGTGGCTTTCTGTCGCGTCGCACCCGGAGCTGGGACCTGCAACGCAATCTGCCCTCGCCGCCCGGCCTGGCTGTGTGGGCCAGTGCCACGAGCCAGACCTCACTGCTCCAAGCCGATCCAGGCCCCTGCCCGTCTTGCCTCCTGGCCTGGCTCTTCCCTAGCGGGTAGGCTCACAGCCAGTGGCAGGTGGGCTGTATCCCATCTTGGGTCCCTCTCCCTGTCTGAGACCTGCCCCAGCTCCTGGTCACCTCCCCATGCAGGACCTGCCTTTCTGCCCCATGCCTGCGCAGCGTGGGGTGATGCCAGCACAGGATCGGCCTCCGGCTGGTGCCCGTGGGAATCAGTCCCAGCGGGTGAGCTGACTGCCGGCCAGTCAGGGCTGGTCTGTCACCGGAGCGCGCTGGTGACAGGCCATGTTGCCCGGATGAGGGTGGTTTGGAGGCCACTCCTGCCTCCAGCGGGGACCTTTGGGGGTCCTTTGCAGCCTGAACTATGTACGAAACGCGCCGCGAGAAGCCATGGGTTTGGGGGGCAGGTGCTGAACCCCTAGGAACAGTAACAGGCACGGCAAGGACTGGACAGAGTCTTTATTGGCAGGGCAGAGGCTCGGCCTCTTCCAGACACGACAGCAGCAGCAGGGTCCCTGGCCGCCAGCCCCACGTTCAGTCCCCAGCGTGGGGAAAGTCTGCTCCCCGGTCCTGCCAGCACCAGGCTGTCACAGCAGAACGGAGTCTTTCCTCAGCCCCTTCCCACTTCCATGCAAGCAGGTCCCCAAAACCCGAGCCAGGTCACGCCAGCAGGGGAGTGGAGGGCAGGTCCCCCCCATCCAGTGGGCAGCACAGGGCTCAAGGCCAGGCTGGACCTAAGGGGCTTTCAGTGCACTTGCAGGCTGGAGCTGGTAAGGGCTGGCCATCCTCCACTCACAATGCCTGGCCCCAGAGCAAACCCCAGTGGGCACCCAGTTCTGCTCCAGCCCCTCTGTGATGGTGCTGGGGAGGGGGGTTCAGGAAGCAGCAGAGGGCACCCCCACCCCATGCTTGCCCCACGTACCCTCCAGGCAACACAGGGTCCCCACCAGTCTGGCACCAGGCTTTTTGCCCCCTCCTCCATGCCGAGAGAGGGACAGTCCATGCCGTGACTCTTGAGGAGCAGGCTGGAGGGGACACAAATCCAGACAGGTCCCTGAGCTGAGGCTGCCAACGAGAGACCCCTGCCAAAGCAAGTGCCCACAGCTGCTCAGCCTGCCCTGGTTCTTCCAAGCCAGGCGACCAGTTGAGTTCTGCCCGCTCAAAACCTGCACTCCCACAGATGCCCTCCATGAATTAATACTGGCCAGACAGCCCAGCCTAGCCCACCCTCGGTGAAAGAAAGGAGCAGGGAAGACCTCCCTTCCCAGGAAGCAGGTGCACCGCTTGCAATCCCACACGCATGGCTCATACGTGGATGCGAGCAGTTCAACAACAGAGTCCTGCCGCACTGGAGAAGTCATTTAGCAAAGGGTCTCCTGGCTTTAGCGTCACAGCAGCTGGCTGCCGGTGCTGTTGACAGACAAGGGAATTAAGTCGCACATGGCTAATACAAGAAAACACAGTCACCCTGCTCCCTGCCGAGGGCGTACACTGGGCGAGGAGGTCGTCAGGGCAGCTGAGAGCAGCAGGCAGCTGGATACATGGCCACATTTTCACGGTGCCCTACTGTGCACGCAGCTCCTGGCCCCTTGCTTACAGCCCCTGCTCCTCAGGCCGCCTTGCACTGGAGCCCACGTCCACGCAGGGCCGGCTGGAGGGTCAGGGCTGCGCTCGGCAAGAAAAGGGTTTTCCAACTACACGGGCAGGTGTCACTGGTAGGGCAATGGAAGCTGCACCTCCTGTCTTTACCAGGCGCTCCCACTAGCTCCAAGAAATGGGACCTGGAGGGCCAAGGCTGAAGTGACGCCCACGTGTCAACAACCACCGAGCTCTGTGCCAGGCTCTGCCCGGGAAGGAAACCGGCCCGCCGCCAGGTGATTTCTGGACTGGGACAAGCCTTCCTAAGCTCAGTGGCTGCCCAGTTCTGCCTGACCTTGGAGCCCTCCGGTCAACACCAAGACATCGCAAAATGCAACCTGGCAACTGCTGCCTTGTAGACAAAGGTGCTCCCAGGCAGCTTGGCTGAAGTCGATGAGAGTAAGACAACGCTCATGGCTTCGGGCACGCACGCACCCCTGCAGGGTGTAGACATCAAGGAGAGGGAACACTAACCCCCGTGGAAACCAGGCCAGGCATGTGGGTCTTCTCTCCTGCTGCCCGAGCTCCATAGAGGCTCAAGGGCTCCAAACCAGGAGTTTGCTGTCTGGTGCAGTGCTGAGGCCAGCAGAGCTATCCCCCATGGATGCTCCTGCAATTTGCTGGAGCTTCACTGCACTCCTGGGCTTAGACCTGGCTATTGATCGAGACTCAGCGCATCCCTCGGGCCCTGGATCATTTGCAGGAAGTCACCAAATCTCCTCCTTGGCTCCGACTAATACACAGCAGATCCAATCAGCTCCTGCAGGTGCTGGCAGCACAGGGGAGTGAGAGCAGAGTCAGACGTTGCCAACGGTGGTGCATTGCCCTGGAGAGACTCCGATCTGGGCAAAACCTTGGGGATTCTGGCTTTGCCCCCAGGGAATGGGGGCAGGGGCTGGGAGGGGCCAGACCTCTTCTGCACTTGCTTTCCAAAGTCGTGTCCCCCAAAATGCTGCATCTGGTTTATCCATGGCCCCTCTTCTCTCCAACATGGGCAGAGACTCGACAGCCCTGCACACATGGTAGGGCGAGAGAGGCAGTGACTCCCACACGGAGATCCAGCTGTAGCTTCAACTCTGCCAGCAGGAGGAGGCTGAGCACAGGAGAGGAGAAAAAACACCCTTGAAGGCCCAACGCTGGGAGAGTCCGTGCTTCTGCCTCTGAGATGCTGCAGTTTTCTACCGCAGGATGGAGCACCTGCATGAACAAGCCAGTCCCAGGAGCAGGCAGAGCAGCTTGGGAGGAACGGTGCTGCTGGCCCATCTGCTGTATGCAGAAGGCTCAGCATCTGAACCTTTGTAGCCTCATCAGCTTCCCCTTAAAGCCTGTTCAGGGGCCCTGCTCCCCACAGGTGTCAGGCAGATCCATGGGGATGAAAACCATGTGCCTGGTCAATTCACATACAGGGTGTGGGGGGAGGAGGCTTTTAGAAAAGAGACCACATCTAGATCTATGCAGCTAACACCAAATCTAAAGGACAACCAAGGCAGGCGGCTTGTCTATCTCCAAGCTCAGGGTGGATGTCCAGTGCTCTGGGCCCAGCTCCCAGTTCTACTACAGCCCATCCACCCCGAGACCCCTCTGACAGCATGAAGGGGCATGAGTGCAAGCTGCAAGGGGCACTGCTAAGAATCCAAAGCCCAGAGCCCAACTCCCCTGCTCCACCTTTCTGGGGAGCACACAGAGGCCCAGGCCCTTCTCCCCATGTTAGCCCCTTCAGCTCAGGCCAAGTTTCCCAGAAGCACCTTGGCCTGCCATTCTCTTGCAACACGCACTGGCCCGTCTTGCCCCAACAGCTCTGGGCAGTGAGCACGACAGCCCAGGAGGGCACGTGGCAACTGTGCTGGGCTCCAAGAGGGAACAGTGAAGAGGATGGTGCAGCTCTGCAGAGCAGCATTTGAATCAGTCAGCTGATTAGTGTCAGCTGAGGCCCCCAAATTGCCTCCTGCCCCATCCCTTCAGAGTAAGATTAATTAGCTGCAGCATCCTGAAGCAATTGAATTGCTAGTCGGCAGAAATCCTCAGCCAGTCCTCACGTGTCACCATACAGGACAGATGTACCGGCATGCAGCCGAGATGCTGGATCAGCCACTTTGTCCCGACCCCTCCTTGCAAAGCTTCGCCGCGGAAAGCCGCTGCCATCTTGTTTACTGCGATGGGAGATGCATTGGAGCTTTTATCATTCCATCAGCAGTGCTGAAGGGCTGGACTTGCCTTTGGAAGCCTGTGATTTTCCAGCAGCCACGGCTAATTAAAATGCATGAGCTCTCATGGTCCTGGAAAGGGGGGTGGAGGGTGGGGTATTTGTTAAGCTGAAGATCTGTGGAGCAAAAGGGGACTGGGGATTTTGAGATAGCATGAGCACCCCTTGCATACAGCACCCTCCCCCCACAATGATGACAGAAACCTGCAGAGACATCCCCCAGGGGAGACTTCCAGGACAAAGGCTGATCTGAGTGTCTCACTCAGGTCAGATCGGAAGGATCATGCCACGATTCACAACACAGCGACTTCCCAGACCTGCACCGTGCCTGAAAGCAAGATCTCTACGCTGCAGGGACCCTGCACGCCTGCCTGTGTTTGCGAATGCTGCAACCAGCCCTTCCACAATCTCTACCCTGACGTCCAGAGACCCACAGAAAAGAGCTGAGAGATGACCTGCCCCATGATCTTTCTAACTCAGTGCCTCAGAACAGATAGCCCTGACCCACCCTTTTGCAACTGCCAGCACCAATGCTACTGCAGACAGTGCAAATGCTAAACACTCCATGTACACATTCATGCTGGAACATGAACAAGCTCAGAACCATGGAGCCAGGGCTCTGCCAGTGCTACACAAGGGCCTTTGGATGCAAAATCCCAGCCTTGCCAGCAGGATGTTAACGAAGCTTCTAAGGATTCCATCAGCAAAGCGCAGTGAGTGGGTGAGATTGCAAGGGAACATGGCATGGAGGGATAAAAAAAGGAGCTTATGGCCTTATTTCTTTGCTTAGTCACCTACTGAGAAACTGCAGTCCCCAGGGATTGACAGGGGTTGATGGGAGCTCTGCTAAGAGAGGATTGTAGTGCAGAATCCCATCTACTGGATCCCAGAACGGCTGACGTTTTTGGCAACTAATACAGGCAGGTTTTTGCTCAGAACTCAGCTGGTAAGAGCTGCTTAGTGCAGTCTGACAACCCGTTATCCCCACCTGCTTTCCACGCAGTTTCTCTGTCATCTTTCACTTTGTGAAGCCCAAAATGGAAAAGAGCAGACCCGGATTCTTAACCGGGGGTGGGAGGGGAGGCGGATCTGTGCCAAACAGTTGCTGAGATCCCTTCGGAAGCAGCATTTAAGGCCCTACTCACTATTACAAATATTATTTTCAGTAGCCTCTGTACAAGCCTCTCCCCACCCCACTAATACAGCATGTGGGGACAGTCGCATGAAACCTTGTGTGATTCTTCTCCCTTGACCCTGGGGGAACCATTCTCTCTTCAGGTCAATGTGTTGCCACCATCTGGATGCGGATGCTTCACCCTGGCGCTGGCATCCGCGTCCCCGCCTGGCTGGAAAGGGGGCTGGCTATCAGCACCGTTTACGAGGGGAAGGAGCTGGGGTCTCCTCTCTGCCCTCACCACTTGAAGAAAACAAGCCCGGCCAGGACGGCATAGCCCAGCACCAGGAAGAGGACCTTCAGCAGGCGGTCGTTCTTGTCCTCCAGCTCCTTCCCCAGGATCTCGAAGAATGTGACAAATAAGAAGGTCCCCCCTGCAATGCCCTGAAGCACCACAGAAGCTACGCTGCTGGCCACATTGCGGGCGCTCTCGATGCCCATGCCAATGCCAATGCCCAAGGGAATCATCAGACTGACTGTCACAGCCAGCTTGGCGGCATCCTTCAGTGCCAGTGAGGTCTTGGCCATGCTGATGCCCAGCGCTACGGCCACCAGTGTCTCGTGGATGGCCACCCCCAGAAAGAGACTCATGACCTTGTCCCCTTCCTCCTGCAGGCCCAGGGCCAGGCCCTCAAAGATGGAGTGGGCTGACAGGGCAAACACCAGGCTGAAGAGCCGCAGGGGGCTGGAGCAGGAGAGCTCCCGGATGTTCAGGCTGTGGCTGTGGGAGTGGTGGCTGTGCTCATTGTACAGTGTGCGCCCATGGGAGGTGGCGATGAAGGGGCTCTCGTACTCAGAATCACTCCCGACATCTGAGCCGGCGTTGAAGGTCTCCAGGTCGATAAAGGAGGGCTTCTCCTTCTGGAAGGTCAGGATGAGCTGCTCTACAAAGACCGTCATGAAGAACCCCACCAGCATGATAGTCTCGGCCAGGGGGTAGTCTGTTATCACGTTCCCTAGCTTGAGGACTTCTTGAAGCTGGAGCAAAGGAAG